TGGGTGGGGGGGGAAATCACACAGATGTACAAAGCTTTCCATTTATTCTAACATCAACAGGTTATGCTATTTGTTTCTTTGAACCAGGGATTTGGTTACAGATTTCCAAATGCAATGAACAGCCCTGCACACGTACAGACAGTGACTCTTTGCCGTCCTATCAGCCTGAAGCCAGCGCTTGCCAGGAAAAAGCATTTGATGACTGAACAAGGCAAGAAAACACCAAAGGCATAGTACAGCACAGAGATGAGCTGCGAGGTTCAGGAGTTCAACATTCACTCAGCTACCAGCTTGATTTAGCCAGAGTGGCAAAGTATTTAACCCTTCGGTATTTCAGCCTCCCTTGGAAGACAATCTTCTTCAGTCTCCCTGCAAGGTTAGAAGACTACAGCCTCGGTCCTTTTGGCAGAAAGCCTCAGCACAGGCACTGTTATCCTACAGGGAACAGTCTCTTCCAATTCTGAATGCCTGCTACTGTGAGTTATCAACAGAAGATATAATCTGCCGTAACCTTACCTGCTCTTTGGCTGCAAAAGACTCTGCAGGTACATAAAGCTCACCAGCAACCTCTTAATGTCTTTGCCTCTAAAAAGATTGAGAAGAAAATCACTGTAAAGCAGGTACCCTGTCACAGAGGTGGACTAGACTAACAGAGCTCTATTAATAGGTAAATCAGGTCTCACTTGAAAACTACATTCTGGTGAAACTGGAGGAAAAAAAAAGACAGCTTATACACGTCTAGCTTTCACCAATATGCCTCAACCCTCATGAACAGTCACCAGCTCCAGGGGAGAGTGAGAAAATCTCTCACCTCAAACTCTACACCTAGCCAGCATTTAGCTTTTCCCCTGAAATTATGACCTGAGAGAGATCAAGAATCGGATCTTGAGTGGGGCTCTCAAAATTCTGGGACCAGACACTGCCTCGAATGGGCCATTTACCAGTTCCCGCTTCCCAGAAAGACACTACTCTCAACCCAGAGGATGACACCGGGGGCATCGCAAACCCTCAGCCTGCACCCTTCTCCTTTTCTTTTCCCTCCTACCGCTTCTTGCTTGGAGACAACTTCCTGGTTTCACATTTCTTCAACTGGTGATACATTTTGGCTGCTTTGTCATACAGCCGCTTCAGGTTCCCATAGGCACCTTCAAAGGACACTTCAGACTGGATACTGAGAATAGAACACATCAAAAGTTACTTTGCCACAAGGTTGCTCACATTTTGTAGCTTTAATTCACTAGAAAGTTATTCAGGCATCTAAGCATGAAGGCAGGTACCTAGTGCTTTTGTTTGAACATGCTGGGCTACTTAACTCCCCCTGATGTCTGCAAACCCCACTTCAGGCTGCACCACAGCTCCATCTGCAATGTTTACACAGCTTTTCAAATTTGTGCCTTAGGGCCACGTTCAGAAAACTGAATTCCACCCACCTCACTATGGGGGGTGTCTCACTCAGCACCTCCGCACCCTTCAAACCTGGCTCTCCAGCACAGGCAGAGGGTTTCAGATGAAACCCTGTCCTCCAAGTGCAGCCCTGCACATGTGTTTTAGTGACCAGCACGATGGTTTCTTTTGACCGAGGCTCGCTCTTATTATCAGTCCTGCTCAAGGGTGAAACAAACCCATCTCTCTTCCCCCTCCCCTGCAACTCATCCGCTGAAAACAGCCACAAATCCAAAGTAAAGGAGAAAAGGATCTGGCACCAGCAACCACAGCGCACTGTTTCTCTGTCCAGAAAGCCAAGATCCTCACCGACACTCACCACCGCAAGTAGCAATAGGTAGCTTCCACATTGTAGTATTTGCTCCCTGCCAATGTCCCCAGCTGGTTAAAGGGCATGCCTGTCATGAAAGAGAGGGGCAATGGAATTAACTTACAATTCTCCAAGCAGATCCTTTCCCTCTCACTACACTTCCTCATAGGAGGGAAGCCAGGAGACACAAACAGTAGTAAAGCTTCAGTAACAAAGGTCTGGACTACTCCATCCTTTTGCCACCCAGGTTTGTTTGTTTGGTTGGTTTTTTCCTGTTTTACAGTGCTTTTAGATCCTCCCCACCTTCCTGCCACTTATCTACATAAGAAAACAGAGCAAACAATGCCTCCTCTCTGTATTAATGCTGCCATGGCCTTGACTCTCTATTCCTCTTGACATAGACATCATCGTATCAGCATTTAAGAGTTCTGTCCCAGCTCACTGTGGTACATAAGTTTTTGTCACTTATTGGTATTTGCGATCAGCCTATCAAACAGCTCAGTGAGAACTTTCTGGAATTGCACACTTTTTAAGATCAGACAGGCCCTCGACGCTTGCCACAATGTGTTCTCATAAGGTAGTCACTAGAAGTAGTCACTTCTGAAGGAGAAAGCAGCATGTGAGATTTTTTTGCAGGGGTAAAAAGAAGGAGATGACCAATCTCTGCTTCTAGCAATGGACAGCTGGATCTTCCCTTAGCCAGACAAGCACAACTTTACCACATTCATGGAAGTCCGAGCTTCTCAGAGGTTATCAGGTGAATAAGTGGAGGTCACTGGCAAAGAGCACCTTTAACTCCCCTCTTTGGCTTGACAGCAAGAGAGAGATTCTCAAAGAAGGAAGTCATTTTAACCAGAGGGTAAAACCACTCCTCTCTCAGCAGCAGGATATAAACCTGACCAGCATAGTTATCACAGGGTGTTTTTAGATTGCAGCAACATGATTTTAATGACTGAAAATTCATGGTAACTCACTCACCGATTTGTGGTGCAACAGAAAGGGCTTGATAGTAAAACCGCTCAGCCAGCAACTCTGTGTCCACACCTGCCAGTTCATTCTGATAGCGAGCTGAAAGAAAACCACACACCGCACATCAGAAACCAGAAGGCAGCGTCTTCTCTTCCCTTCTGCAGAGCAGCACA